CTTGTGGAAATAATTTATCCCTGTTCTCCCCTGACAGCTGGATCAATGGTGCTGGCACGCTGCCCACGGCCGCAGCCCACAGCCAGGCAGCAGCAAGCACCACGCCTGCACCTGCTCCAGCCACGTCTCGCCTGCCCGAGGCCTCGCTCAGGCAGGGCTGAGCGCCCGCTGCAACTGGGCGCACCCTGGGTGTGCTGGTGGCTGCAGAAGCCCTAGCCCCCCGCACACATCTGTGTGGAGAAACGGCAGCCCGGCAGTGCACCTGGGCCGTGACCCTGGCCTCCCTGCAGCTCTCTTTGGACTAAAACTGCCCTGCGGGTTATGATATTTGGTGCTTGGGAGGACTGAGTCTAGCGAGATGTGATTAGGAGGTGACTGGCAGGCCCTGGGGAAGTGAGGTGCACCCCATGAGCTGCCCGGTTCAGGCGTGCGGGACCGGGACGGCGCCCAGGCAACAACCCAGCCTGTGTGGAGCCCCGCACAGGGCGGCTGTCCCAGCCAGGGCTCTGCCTGCTGGTGCGGGGGCAGCTGCCGGCACCCTGGTCAGGCAGAGGCAGAGAAAACTGTCCAAAGGCCCCTGCCAGGAAGGAGGGAAGCCCCCAGCCCGGGCCAGGCGGTGACTTGCTTGCAGCCCCCCAGCATGGCGCCATAAAACGCTGGAGGAGGAGGGACTGGGGGCACTGGGCACTGTGGCCTGCTGGCTGCCGGCCCCTGCGGGGCAGGAAGGGCTGTGGGAGCGGGGTGCCTCGGCGCCTGCCGCGCTCGCTGTGTTCGTGGCGTGCTCGCGGAGGTGCAGGCTCGGCTCTTCCCCAAGGGGTTTCTCCGTGTGTTTCCATGGCAGCAGAACAAGAGAGCAGGCCTGGCACCGGGCGCTCCGCGTTCCTCGGCTGCAGTCAGGCAGCGCGCGCCGGGCTGGCTGGCAGCGTGTGACACGCGCCTCGTGTTTCGCTCAGTCACGCAGAACAAAAAAGCACCCGCAAGCCCAGTGGCGAGCGAGGGCCGAGGACAGCGGTGCAGGAGTCCGGCGTTCCTGGCACGGGGGTGGGGGGCAGCAGACCTGCGCGCAGGGGCACCTGGAGACATGTGCAAGGCAGGCAGCTGCCAGGGGCTGCGGGACCCCGCGGTGCAGCTGTTCCCCACCGCTCTCCCCCCGCCCAGCCCGAGCACGGATGAGCACCAGCCCCCTGCCTCACGGGCAGCAGCATCAGCCCACGTCCCTGATGTGACAGGAAGGGTGGCCCGTGTCTGCCTCAGAGACAGCAGCACCAGCTGCTGCTATCGTGTCCCTGGCCGCCCGGATCCTCCTGCAGCGTGAGGCGCAGACCCAGAGCCGGCCCCGCTGCCGGGACTGGGGCCATCGCACCGCGCGCAGCCCGTGGGGAACACCAGGCTCCAGCTGCTCCGCTCAGCGCTGGAGGCAGGAGGGCTGTCGCTCACGCTGCTAATCGCAGCCCATGCCCCCTGCCAGGGAGGACGTGGGCTGGCAGGCATGGGCCGCTGTAGCAGCCACACGTACTGCCATGTCAGTTCTCACCGTCAGGTAATCTGGGTTTTCTGGGTCGGGGCGTCTGCAATGGGGGCTGCACGCGAGCAGGCCCCACTCTGGAGAGACCTCTGCCCTCTGCGGGGCTGCTGCACCTTCCCTGAGCAGAGCCGGGGCACAGAGCCCTGGGCAGCCCCAGCGCGGGAGCTGCAGCGGGGCAGCACACCCATCACACGCCCCTCCCCAGCCCCCGCCTGTCTCCGGCGCTGCGCGGGGCCGGCGGGGCTCGCAGAGCTGGGCCGGGAGCGCACGCTGGCACCGCAGATGTGCCTCTGCCGAGCCCCTCAGCTGTGAAGGCAGCTGCCGAGAGTGAGACCCGGTGCCATGCTTGTGAAATGTCAAGCTGGTTTTTCTTATTGGTATTTATTGCTGGGGCTTTCCTCAGATAATAGCCTGGCACCATCATTAGTTTCTTGCAGCCTGACAGAGTCTCAGTGGCTGCTCCACCGTGCGCCTGGTGTTTGCCCAGCTGCAAGTGGCATCGGGGAGCCGGGAACCGAAGGCTTCGCTGCATGGAGAAACGTCAACTGTTAGGACAAGACTCCTCGGGCTGCCAGATCACGATTACCAGCGCTCAGACGAGCTCCGTGGTGCAGTGCTGGCCGGGCCCGGCGAGAGGCCTCGGGCAATGGCTCAGGGAGGCAAATCCCCTTCAACAGGAAAAGCAGCAACACCCCCCTGGGCCTTGCTGGGCAGAGGCCGCAAGACCCCCACTGCCGGCATTGCAAGCTCCCCTCGCCCCAGGGAGCGTCCCTGCCTTCCCACCCTCCCCGAGGCTCAGCTTGCCGTCTCCTCCACCCCTCCAGCCCAAACCAGGCCTGATGAAACCTGGGCTCCAGCATTGCTGGTATCCCCTTGGTGCACCTATGCAGGGCCAGGGCTAGGGCTAGGGCTAGGGCCAGGGGGAGCTGCAGGGGCATACAGCCGCAGGATTGCCGGCCCCATGTGATTCGGGGTCTGGAGAGGGTTCTCTGGAGCTGCATTGCACAAGTCCAGCTTTGCAGCAACAGAAAACCAGAACTGGGACAGGCGCCGCTTGCTCAGCGCCTGGGGAGGGTAGGAAGATGGCTCTGTGCTGAGCGAGGACAGCGGGAGGGGCTGAGCAACGCACGGCTCGCTGCCGGGAAAGGCACTCACGTTTCGTGCAGCCGGGGAAAGGGCACCCAGCACTTAGATCCCAGCTGGAGCAGGAAGCCGGCTCTGCGCCGGGGCCTCTCCGGAGAGATTAGACAGCGCTGCAGCGCAGCAGCTCCGGGAGTCATTACTGCTGCCTGCCAGCCCGGGGTCTGGGAACCATTTAGAGAATGGACCTCTCTGCTGCCTCATGCTCTCAGAGGCTGCGGAGCGGTTATACAAGGGGACAATGAATAACCATGCTGCACCCAGTGCCTTTGATGCCTGAGCGTGGGTTATTATGTGGGGAGGAGCCGCAGTGACTCAATGCCAGTAATCTCAGCTCTCCTGAAGAGTTTCAGGCAGAAGAACAGCCGCAGCGACAGGCTCGGTGGCACTTGGAGCGCTCGTACAAGCACCTCCACGGACACGCTTACGCCCACCAGCATCTTCGCCCACCCCCTGTTCATGAGGAACAAAAGGAGCCCAGCTGAGCTGTGGGTGGGCGGGTGGGAGAGGAGTCGCGGGGGCGTCACTGCAGCTTCACCTGCTCCACAAAGCAGGACGGGGTGGGTTTCCTGGCACCCGCTCCCCATGGCCCCAACAGAAGTTTGCTTTGGCAAAAACAGAGCAAGGCTGAGAACAGCTCCTGCAGCCCCACAGAGTGGCCTGGTATTGCATGAGTGCCAGGAAGCGCCGGGCAATGAATGGAGACTGCGCAGCTCCTCTGCAAGCAGGTCCGCGCCCCCAGTGTTTTGGCGAGCATTGCGCCCTGGCTCACAACATGCACCGCACCTCAATAAAGAAGCCCAGGGCCACTGCTCCCGTGGCCCACCCCGAGTCCTGAGCCCCTGACCTGTGCCTGTGGCATGGGCTGGAGCCAGCCCTCCCTCTGCTTGCCCCTGGCACCAGCCTGCCTGGACAGCCGCTATGGCCAGTTATGGACACGACCCAAGCTTTCACCGAGTAAGAACGCAGAACGCTGCTGGGCTCCGGAGTGCGCCAGCTCCAGCCTCTCGCCCAGATCAAGGGACACGATTTCCCTTGGGGGTGAAAAAGAAGCGGCTGCATTGCTCACGGATGTGCTCTGGCCGCAGGCTGATGAATATGCCGCACTTTGATTATTTCAACACCAAGAGACATGGCAGAGCCGCAGGGTTTGGAACATGCCTGTGGGTTTCTGTGCCCACTGGGATGCGGGTGTTACTCAGCAGCAAGGGAGGCCGCCTTCCTGCCAGGCAGCTGACGATCAGTATTGGGAGGAAATCAATTATCCGCATGCAGCAGGGATGAATTAGAAGCTCCTTACCAGCCCCCACATGTGCTTTGACTAAGCCCCAGATAACGAGAGAGGCATAAAAAGCCGAGAGGCTTGGTTTGGCTTTGGTTTTTTGCAGAGAACACCACAACCACGGAGCAAGGATTGCGGGGGCGAGAGGCTGAGTGAGCAAGAGCAAAGAAAACATCTTGGGGCACAAGTCCCACAACCCTTGGGCTGCAGTCAGCAGTCGCCCCGTCACGCCATGCCAGGGAAAGCTCAGCAGCTCTGGTGGGCAGGCAGAGGGGAAAGCGCTCTATCGGCTCTCTGAAGGGCCATCTGCAAGGTGGGCCGCACGCCCAGCGTGGACAACCGCAGCCCTTCGGCCTAGGCAAACGCTGCAAGGAGCTGCCTGCATCCCAGGGAGCTGCACCCCCAGCCACTCCCCAGAGAAGGACTCGACCACAGCCCAGGCCGCACCGGGAAGACAGGGGAGGCAGAAACGACTCAGCTGCGCAGGGCACCGTCTCGCTTGCAGCATGGCACCTTGGCCCCGATCTCGCTCAGACTGGGGCCTACGGTTATGCCTTCAGTGTCCTCCACTCGTGTTGGCACGAGCTCCTGGACGTGAATAAGATGCTGCTGTTGCTTTCTACAGAGAAATGCGTTTCACAGGGGCTACAAATAAAATAAGTTTATTGAGTTTCCGCGCGTGTAGCAGTGGCACATATAGAGAATTAAGACACAAGGTGTGGTGAGGAGTTACAGGTTTGTTCTTCACCGAGCAAAGGCTCTGTCTCACCTGACAAAGATACATACAGATCTGGAGCGTCCGGGTCAGTTCGCTGCGGCGTCCGGGGAGGCCGACGCGTGGGAAGCGGAGCCTGAGGTGGACCTGAAGATTTTGGTTGCTGGGCTCCGTTGCTTCCTGACCTGGCTGAACATGCTTGTGCAGAGGGGCTGGGGAGGGGCGGCTGCCTCTACGGGGTCGAAAGCAGAATCGTTTCATAACAGCAAAACAAACAACACCAACGGCTCGGCGAACGAGCCCAGGGACCGGGGTCAGGAAGCCCGAGACCTGGCCGAGAGGAGCAGCCGACTGCTGCTTTCAAGAACACTGTACAGAGCTGCAGTCGCATCCTGGCTGGACCCCGGGCTGGTGGGATTAGCAAAGCGTCAGCATTCAGGGCTCGGCCTGTCCCCGGAAACATTTTCTTTTCATTAAAGAGATGCTGAGACCTCACGGAAACGATGACGGGACATTTGGGACACGCGCTGCACGACCTCCGAGCAGCTCCGAACACCTCCACACGCACAAGGGATCTGCAGACACACGGCTGGACTCGGACTGGTCACAACAGGCGAGAGCTGCTCACACGTCACATGCTGTCTCACGAGGCTTTCGTTGCTGTGGGTCCACTGGGGGCAGAAGCTGCAGCCGCAGCCTGCCCCGCTGCCCCTCTCCTGGGCTGGGAGCTTGCGGAGACCGGGACGTGTCTGCTCCTTGTCCTGCCTCCACGCGTGCTCCGGGCTGCCGGCCCGCCGCACGAGCCCCCTGCCCGCCTCTCATTCCACCGTCTTTCTCCGGTAGCAGGTCCGTGGAGTGAACGCCACAGAGCGCATCGCCGCGGGAGACAGGAGGGACAAAGACAAAGTTGACCACGACACAGTTTTTCTGCCTCTACTTATTCAGGAACAACTAGACTCAGAGCACCTCGCTGCTGCTGCTGCTGCCACGGCCGCGCAGCAACGAGGTATTTCGACTGCAGGACGGTGCAAAAACAGCTTGGCTCAGTCCCGTTTGCTCGAGGGCGTCTGCACGTCACGGCGTGGGAGGTGGCTTTGGAGATGGACAGGAGCCTTGGCTGTCGAAGCTCGCCGCCCGCCCTTGCCACTGAGGGGAGAGAAAAGCCACATGTTACGCTACGGGAAGTGGAAGAGGGTAGTTAGTGTGTAATCATGCCACGTCCCCGTCCCGCCTGTGGCTCCTCCCCGCCCGCGGGCGATAGGCTAACTGCCGGCCGACATTCGGGCGCCCATCGCTCGGCCGTTGGCACAGGCCTGGTGGCCTCAGGTGCTCTCATAAGCCAGGCCCTGGTCGCTAGGACTGTGAACACGGGGGTGGGGGGGACCTTGACCGTGCGCCTTGGCTGGAGCAGGTTTGCGCTCAGCAAGCGCTCCTGCCGTTTCCCATTTTAGCACACACTTAATTAAGTCCTTCCAGTAACGATGAGGTAATGCAGCTCCGCAGCTGCCCGAGCTAGAGCCATTCCTCAGGCTTGAGAGAGGAAGGTGCAGCGCGTAGCAAGCGCCCATTGCCAGGGGCTCGGGATCAGGCATTGTGACCCGTTTGTCTCAGGGCAGGGATTACAGCGTGAAGCCGGCCTGACTCGAGCTCCCGAGCTCTTGCCCATCTCCCCATCTCTTCCCAACACCCTGCGCGTGTCCCCAACAGACAGCGCCGTGCACTGCTCCTTCCCCTGCTTCCCCAGCGCTCTGGAAAGGGCCCGGGGAAACCCCGCAACATCCTGGCAGCGCGTGAGCAGGGAAGCTCTGGCTGGCTGAGATGCTCTGCCCCAGAGCAGCTGCTCCCTGGCCCAGAGAGCAGCCAGGGAAGGGCCGCGGCTGCTGCCCGGGCGTTGAGTGAGCTTGGTCCCACACCTGACCGCGCATCACGCATCGAGCCAGTTCCCAGGCATCCTAGAGCGCCGGCGCCCGGCTGGACTGCGCTCTGCTGCGAGTGGCGGACGGCTGGCAGGGGATGCTCTGGCCGGCGCCCGTGCTGGGTCAGCCTGCGCTGGCAGAGCACGTGGCACACGCAGGGTACTTGAAGGCTAGCTTTATGCTGGCGGCAGCAGACTCGCCTGCATTACTTGCCTGTGCAAATTCTGGTCAGGGCCGGGGCTGAGCCGGGGCTGTAGTTTACTCTTTTCCCCCAGACAAAACAGACATCCCAAGCAACCCCTCTGCAAGTCTGGATTGAGCAGGGACATGATTCCTTCTTAACGGTGATGAAAGCTGCGGAGAGACCAGCGCGTGCGACCTGTGTGTCTGGAGAAACCTGAAGACGTGCTCCTGTCTCTAATTACAGCAGAGTCGCTCCTTCTGCACTCACCAGCTGGGAGCGTGGCAGTTCCCAGATGTCAGGTGCAGCCAAAGCCCCAGGAGCCTGATTTTCATATCGTTAAGCGGGGAGGGCTATTTCCATTGCAGGGCTGAGCCTGTCCCAGGGGAAGCAGTGCTTTGGGGGTTTCCCCGTTTCACCCAGCGAATGCCCTCGTGGCAAACACCAGAGGAGCTCCATGGCCTTGGAGACCTCTCACCAGGGCAGCGATGCTGCCAGCTGCAGCTTTCTCCTTTCATGTGTGAGAGCGGCAGCTCCGTTTTCCACGGTTCCCTTGACTGCTTACATGGATACCCTGTAATTTTTTTGTCTCTTGCCTTGCAAACATGCCACATGCCTCTCCTGGCTGACTGACGCGTGGAGACAGCAGTGCCGAGAGATCCGGGTGCTGGGAGCACACAGCAGCGACTGTGCACCAGGGCTGCAGCCGTTCTTGCGGCAGAGACATATCTGGGTGCCGCTCACTGGTGACGCAGGGGAAGGGTTCAGTGCCGTTACTGGAGCGGTCTGGAGGTGACCAGTGATGAGAAGAGGGTCATCAGGGCAGCGACCAAGATGCAGGGAGAGCCGAGTCCTGGCTCATGCAACCTCCGGCCTGGCTCAGTGCTCTGCTCACTGCTGGGACATGAGAGGGGGTTGGGTAGGGCTGGGGGACCTGCCTTCTCTTGGGCAATGCTCCCGAACAAGAGCTGAGGACAGCCCTGCCCGTGGGAAGGCGCACGGCAGCGTCACGGGCGCTGTCTGGGAGCAGACATCTGCACTCGACGCTGCCGAAGGGATGGCCGAGGCGTTGCTGCCAGTGGGGAGCTCTTCCTCACCGAAACATCTCTTTCAGGTCCTTCGTCCCAGGTCTGTCATTTTATTCCAAGTCCAAAGGGCGACACATGCACCTAGACAGACTGTCCAAAGGACCAAAGCCAGGGCCTGTTTCAGCGTACGTTAAAGTCTGGATTAGCAGCAGAGGAATTAGAGGGGGCTGGAGAAAAAGCAACCTCTTCTCTTTGCACAGCCGGGGTCTTGATTTGGAGATGAGAGGGCCGCAAGCTGGTTGCGTGGGAAGACCATAAGGAACCCAGGGGCAGGAAAGCCCAGCTGCCTCTCGCAGGCAGGGGCTCCAAGCTCTCCGGTTTCCAGCTCGCTCTTCTTTCAGAGCATCCGCACCAGTTTCCGTGCCAGATCCAGCTGTGCGCTGGGAAAGGCACCGACTGACTGGCCGAAGGGCAGAAGAGGAGTCTCCTGGGTAGGGCTGGCTCTTGTGGGTACTCGAGGCAGCACAAGCTCCCTGGCAGCCGGGGGCAGTGGCCGCTGGCCTGCCCATGCCAGGACCCCATGTCCCGGTGCTGACGGGCTCCGCCAAGGCAGGTGGCAGGCTGCAGGCCCTGCTCCACGCGCCGTGTTGGCTCTCCCGCGCCGTCCGTCACCACTCTGGAGGCCAGGCAGAGCTCTGACTCACTGCTGCCCCACGACCGCACGGTTAGGATGGCACGGTTGATCATCTCCTGTACCGGAAGGCTCTGGGAACGAGTTACCTGCCAATTACAGTAGAAGACCGGTAGCTGGCTACCCACACAGCTGCCTAGTCATTACTGAGGTGCCTGAAGACGGCAGTGGGGGCTGCCCCCGCACTGCAGCAGACGGGAGGAAGGGGAGGCACAAGGCTGGAGCCGCCAGCGTTGCAAATCAGCACCCGAAGGCAGAGGAGCTCTAGGGCTTCACCTCCCCATCACGCGGTGACAGCGCAAGGACCTCTCTGCGGGGGTGCCGGTGACTCCGAGCTGCCTGTGGGTGCTGGGGCATGTCCCAGGGCCTTCCGGACCTCAGCTGCCCCGTACGCGGCACGCGGCTATAATCTGATATGCAGAGCGGGAGATTTAGTTAGGCACAACAGACAAATCGCACTTCCCCGGTCATGGCTGCCTGGCACGCTGGGCTGCTTTCTGTCTGCTGCCGCGGCGTGTCTGTGCACTCCAGGGTTGCAGAGCAGGGCTGAAACTCAGACAGACACGGAACGAGGGCCAGGGCCGCTGTGGGCCGGCAGCACGCGCTGGGCTGTGGCTGGGAGGCGGAAGCGGGCGTGCAGGGTTTTTCAGCCGGGCTCCTGTTTTGTACAAGCTGAACTGATCCATCCGATTTCCCCCGGGAGCCAGGGTCTCAGCGCGCCAGTCTGGGACAGAGCCAGCCTGAGGCAGGGCAGGGAAGCAGCTCTTCCTCCCGGTCGGACGCGAGAGCTGCAATCAGCTGCTGCGGGGCCGTCTCTGACCTCCCGGTCACTGCATGTCACGCGTACCCGGAGCCGGAGCCGGAGCAGCCCCAGGCCCCAGGCGGCTGTCGCGGGCTGCCTGACAGCGCAGGCCTGGGTGCGAGGGGCCGAGCGGCGTGTGACCGGTTTGGGCCGCGCGGTGCATCCAGAGGTACAGCTCAGCGCCCAGAGGCACCGCGATCGGGAACAGTCTCCAGATCAGTGAGGCCAGCGGGCCTGATCCTGGTCCGATTTACACTGCTGACTTCAGGGAAGCTGCTCCCCATTTCCACCGGGGTAAAGTGAGATCAGGACAAGCCTATAAGAGAGGGGGCAAACTCTCAGCTCCTGCAAGTCCGAATAGCTCCACTGAAGTCACTGGGACGGCGTTAGGGTCCGCTGCCCGGCCGAGATCTCATCCGGCATGTCTCAGACTGGTTTGCAGAAGCCGGGAGGATCCGTGCTGGGCTCTTGTGAAGATGAGTGTCAAACCCAGCCCCTGCGCACACAGCGACGGTATCCGGGCAGGACGGATGCTGCAGACGGGATGGTCGTGGAAGGCTCTGCTGAGCGGTGGCGAATTCCTGTCGCTCCGGAGAAGGGGATTCGTCAGTTGTGTTCCCTTCCCGCAGCAGGTGCCTGCTAAAGCAAACAGCGCTCAGGGAAGCTCTGGCAGAACCAGCGGAGACACAGGCCAGCTGCTCCCGGCTCGGAGCTGCTGCCTACCGCCTCCTGCAGAAGACGCTCCTGCGCAGTCGAGGCAGGCCCAGCGCCGGACCGAGTGCATTTTGGACCCTGTGAATGACCGACAGACACCGCGTAAGCTCAGGGAGGCAGCTGGCATGGAGCCTACACCGGGCTCGGTACCAGAGACCAGGTTTCCAAGGAGCGTAGGATCCGAGAGCGCTGCTGTGGCCTCTGGGGTCCAGCACCAGCCTCTAGCAGGCGGCGTACGTGACACGGCAGAGGCAAACACCCTGCTCCTTCGACCGCGTTGGACGGAGAATGAGAGATACTGCTGCCATCCCTACGTGAGGCAGCACGGCTCCGGGCGCGAGCCTTGCTTCCCGTTCCTGAAGCGCTGCTGACGTGCATGGAAAGAGGTAGAAGAGCACGTCTCTGCCCCCAGCTCTCTGCTTCCATCAGACAAAGAGCAAGGCAGAGCGCAAGGGAAGGTGAGGAAACGGAGCCGGGGAAGGAGAGCGGCACTTGGCCGAGAGGGCGCCTGGCTCTTTCCCCGTGGCCGGCTCCCCTCGGACAGTCTTCACCCCCGAGGTGCTCAGAGCAGCTGCACTCGTTCTATTTATTCCTTCTCAAAGGCTCAAAGATGAGTCAACGGAAAGTTTTTCAGGGGAAAAAACCGAATCCTTGAAGCACACGGTGTCCCTGGGCAATTTATTTTGGGAGCGCAATAGCGTTCCCCCTCCCGACTGCCCTCACGCTCGGGGTAAAAAGAAGAAACCCGTGATACCAATCTGATCTGCGCATCCCTGCCTTGGCGCTCCCGCTCCCCAGCCCGAGGAGCTATTTCAAGCCAGAGCCGAGGCGCTTGTTCTCTAGGGTTCACCTCGGGTGAAAAGCTCCCTCAGGTCCTGCTAGAGTTTTCCACAGGAGGAGGAGAGGCTTTTAGAGAGCCGCGGGCCAGCTCAGTCACGCATGGCACTCGCATTCGCAGGGAGAAAACCGGCTTCACGCACCTCTTTGAAGGATTTCTTCACCTCCACTAATGGGTGCCAGTGAGCAATCGGCTTCCGCGGGTACGCCAGCATCTCGTTCCAGTGGTCTCTGCCCAGGCCCTCGGCATTGATGCCCACGCGGCAGACTCCAATGATCTCGTTATGGCCCACGCTAAAACCAGAGGAGAAGAGGAAGGTGATCTTGTCCCTGAGCTGGGCTGTCAGGCCCAGGGAGGCCCGCCTGCAAGCCAGCTTCTGGCTGGGCATCAAGGCAATGCTCTTGCTGTCGCTTCCTGCGTGTCTGTGCCGCTCCCGGCACAACGGGGCCTGGCAAGCTCCCCAAAGTAACCCCCCACAAAACCCCAAACCAATACTGACAATCATGTTAGCAAAACCCGAGCCTGTGGGCATCTTGTATGAGGTCTACTCTACAGCCTGGATGCGAATCCTTCCTGGAGCCCGAGGAGGTGCTGGGGCCCTGGAGGGTGCAGTGAGAAGCCGCACGAGGAGGACTCAGCGAAGACCGGGTCCCTCGTGCTCCACCTGCTGCTTTAGGGGAAGCAGTTTGCCCGCTGACAGGGATGATGGATGGCCTGGCCGCACTCCCGCAACCCTCCCCAGCAAAGGGGTGCAAGCTACTCCCTCAAGGAGAAAATGCCTAACAGCTAAGGATCAGGCCTATTGTACTCATGCTTCCAGCAGCATAATTATCCACAGCATTAAATATACATGACACTTTGCAAAGCATCGTTACGGGCTCACGTTGACACAATCCGGTTGCGTGATCCTGGCAGCCAGAGCCAGGAGCTTAGCAGCTGCGCGGGGAACCCAGGGCCAGGCAGGCTCTCCAATCCCCCCCTGTCTCCAATCGCCCTCACATACCGATCGTAATCCATGACGGAGATCAGCAGGCTGACTTGATCCATGTTCTCCGGGGGGATATCAAAGATTATCGCCTCGTTGTAGGTGGGGTTCAGCGTGTTCTTCTTTATGGTGGTTTTCTTCTTTTTCAGCCTTCGCCCATCGCAGAGCAGGGACACCTTGACGTATGGATCTGGAGAGAAGGGGCAAACTCCTGGTGTTCAAGGGACAGCGTGGGCTATGTGGGGCCTAAGGCATAACATCACCCTGGGATGGGGGTAGGAGACCTTGTCCGTGGCCAGTGCACTCAGCCATGGTCCCCTTTCTCCTGCCCTGCAAACCTCCCAGTTCTGGCCCCGAAGCACCTGCTGAGGGCTTCGTGACATGGGTTAGCCGCAGGGAAGACAAGACATGCAGCTAGCTTTTTGGCTGTAACGTGGACTTCATTTCAACCCAGATGTTTCAGCGGGGGAGGGTTAAGGTTAGGGCCCCCACTGGCACCTCACTGGCTGCTGCAGCCATGCTCTCACACCCCTGCCCAGGCAGAGGAGAGGGTCCAAGGGGAAGGCCCTCTGGCAAGGGACAGCCCAGCCCTCGGGACCTGAGCCTGGGACCTCTGGCACCAAAGCAAAGGCTCCCACTGCAGCAACTCAAGGAGCTGGAACCGAAGGAGCTGCTCCATTAGCTGGTAGAAGCAGTAGGCTGGTGCCCTGCGGGGAAACAGCAGTTACAGGGGACACAGGACTTGCATTGCCGTGTGTCACGTATATCCCGCCGACAGCCGATCTGCTCGGCCATGCCGAGGCAGCTCCATCACTCCAGGGGAGCTGCCACCCCTCTGCAGAGAAGCTCTGGCTGCTGCCGACCCGGTCCCCATTAGGGATCCTGCTCATGCTGCCTGGACAGAGGGTTCCCGTCTCTACAGGAAGGTGTCATGCGCCTCCCTCTGCATAGCCAAAGCAGAGAGAGCTTGATGCAAAAGAAGTCATCCGTGGAGCACATTTCACCCCAGTCCCACTGCCTGCAGCCCCAGCCCCGACCCTGGGCCTTTGGGGCTGTTTGCTCTCTGGCATTTGTACAGTTCCTAGCGCAGCGGGCACTGGTGCCCCCAGGGCTGCTAGCACCACTGCAGCACACAGATGGAAGGAGGAGGAGAAGCTGTGTTCAAGACTGTACCATGAGTTATTGCCTCCCAGGGGTGCCCTCCAGTTCTGCTAAGGAAACGGATATACGGGAGCTCATAAAACTGCTCCGCATCGAGTCCCTGGTGCCGGCAGACCATCTGGTGGTGGGGAATCGGGCCCGTGGCCTCCTCTGAAGGAAGGTCAGCGCCGCGGGCTCCGGCATGTGGGGAGGCTCAACCCCATCAACAGCCAGTCGGGAAGAGGCTAATGGACACTGGGAGAAGTCTGGCTCTCACTTGAACACACGAAAGCATCTAGCTTACAGCAGCCCTGCACACTTTCTGAAGCAAAACTGCACCTTTTTCAATATTTGATGAACAGACTGAAATATAACACAGCAACCTTGGCAATCACTGCACGGAGCAGAACTCCATTTGCAGGCATCTTTCCCTGCCTTTACGGAGCCAAGGGGGTACAGGGCGTATACCAGAGGCGGCTCACCCCGCACAGCCTGTTTAGACACGGCAAAATGCTTCACCAATAATGCCCTATTTCTCTTGGCCTTCTTAGCCCTAGCAAAGCTTCCATTACTTGCAGACACAGCGTTACTGCCTAGGGGAAATGCCCATGACCCGTTGCGAGTCGCACAGGGTCCCTCCAGGGGGTTAAAAGCACTTGTTCTTGATGCCAGTGGCAAGGGGAGGCACGGGGACAGGCTCCCCGCCTGGCTGTCCAGGGCCTGACTCCAACTCCGGTGGAGGGAGCTCTGAGGGCGGCTGGGGAAATGTCAGCGCCTTCGGGGGTTGCACGGAGCAGATTACTGCAGAGCTACGGAGCTGCCCTCCCTCCGCAACCTCAGGTCTCAGACATTTCAAACTGCATCGAGTTGTAACGGAGCAGGAACGTCGTCTGCCCAGAGATCGTGTCATGAACTGCTGCTGAGCATCACGGGAGCCGCCACAAGACCCAGAGACTTGCACTGCGCGCCCCAGGCCACAGACCGCGTTTCGCATGCGTCTAGTAGTGCTGGTCCCCTTCCAGGCTCCTTGGCACTGCAAGCACACGGCCCCCTAGCACCCCCGCTCCCGGGGCCTTGGCGGCAGCAGGGGATTGCCGCTCTCGTGGGCACTCCGGGGCCCTGGCTCAGCTTCAGGGCAAGGGGCAGGGCTCTGGCTGGGAATGGCTAGCAGGGAGCTCATGTTATTCCTAAAGTTTTGCCGGTGCCTATGATGTGCTTACACGCACGTGTGCTTTTGCCGAGCCACTTCAGTGCTGACATAGCTCTGCCTCGTGCCCCTGCGACAGAGGCTTCGTGCGCCAGCGAGCCAGCCTGGGTGGCAAGCTGCAGAGAGGCAGTAACTCCGAGAGAAGGCACAACCTACCTGAGTAGCCAGTAATGTCCATAGCTTTAAGATTCCTGCACTTGATGACAGTTAAAGTGAGGCGTCCGGCAGTCGGCAGGTAACACAGGGAAAACATGATCTCGCCCAGGTCCACGCTTTCCTTGAACAAAACAGAGAGGACAGAGCATCAGGAGTGCACGAGAGCCAGCCACACCGCCACCTACACCTCGCTTGCTACAAGACTAGCCATCAGGAGGCGCAGCTTCACAGTCAGGGCGGCCAGGACCTGGAACCAGCTCCCAAGGGAAGTGGTGCTGGCTCCTACCCTGGGGGTCTTTAAGAGGAGGCTGGACGAACACCTAGCCAGGGTCGTTTGACCCCAGTGCTCTTTCCTGCCACGGCAAGGGATCGGACTTGATGATGTGTCAAGGTCCCTTCTAACCCGACCAACAATGACACTATGAAGCAGGAGTCTAGCGAACCTGCGCTCTGCCCGGCGCCCCCCTGACCTAGCCCCAGGACCAGCGCTGTTCATCTGTGCCAACAGGTCCCACCTAAGTCACCGCTTCAGTTCAGCTTCTCACCGGTGCCGCAGCCACTTGGCTCCTGGAGGAAGCAGGGCTGGGTTGGTTAGCTATCCAGTGCTCGGGGCGCTCGCTGGCAAACTCATCGCTCTCTGTGGTGTCGTTTGCAAACTTGCTGCCAGCTACGAGCGTGTTGGCTGCAGCGCGGCTGGGCTGCCCCGCGAGCGGGCTGTGCTTGTCACCTTACATAAAGGACCGTGCTCTCAGAGCAGATCTGCTGCGAGCGCTGTGCTCAGCTGGGTTATCGGCTGCACACCGCGACCAGGGGATCGCACGTCCTCCTGCCAAGTGCTGCTCAGGCGTTACTGAGGTGAGCGGATTGCAGACTCTGCCCATGATGCAGCCTTCGGGGCAGAGGGGGGCCTTCCTGGCGGGGAGCCTGTTCCTTCGAATCAAGCTGCATCATTACAGTAACGTCCCTCTTTCTCCACCCAACGCCAGAGCCCAGAAACTCGGCGCTGCCGGTAGGAAGCTCCGTCTCTGCAGATGCCCGCGCTCGGCAGCGCTGCTGGCCGGGTGTCGTCGCCCCGGCACCAGCCTGCCAGAGCCGCTTTCGCTCAGCGCCCTTTGTGCCTCTCCTCAGCGCGAGGCCAGAAGGGGCTCTCGCAGGCTGGCGAGGGACTCGGGATGCTGCAAGCGAACAGGGCGGCGGGCCGCTTCCAACCGAACCCCGGGCACGCGAGAGCCCAGGCTTCGTCGGGGTAGGGTACATAGCTCCAGCCACACAACGGAGAGGGCTAATAAAGAGTGAACTGAGCAAACACATCCTGATGGCCCTTGTCTCAAAGCATTTCATGCTTCTCTGCACCGCCCTGTACACCCTGTCCAGCTGGCCTGGCCTGGCCTGGCCCTCAACGCCTCCCAACAGCGGCTCTGCAGTGGGCTCCACATCTTCACCGGGCTTTTGCCCCCATCGGTGGGGGTTTGTGTGCTCAGCGAGCCGTCGCCCTGGCAGCTGAGGACAGCTCGCCTGTTCTGGTCTGCTTATTTGTGATGGAGAGCTGTTTACAGAAATATCCATGCGTTGGTAACGAAGACGACTAAGACTTGAGCTGCAGCCTAATGCTTTAGACTTGACTTTTTAAGAACTGTGTGTCTGGAGCTTCCAGATTGTAATTAGCTTTTAAAAGGCTTTTGCTTCTTAATAATGGTGATGGGGGCAGCTGGCTTCGGGATAATGTCAGAAAGCAGCTCACCGTCTTGGCTCCTTTCAACAGAAGCACTGACTCGCCGGCAGAGTTGAAAAAAGAGCTCAGCTTTCTTGGAAACTGCTACAAGAGGCAGGCAGGGGCAGGGCTGTGGCATATCCCTCGCCTGCAGCTGCCCTGCTACAGGACAATAGCCTACCACTGCAACTAGCTATTGGAGTCACGCCTGTAATGAAACGGTCTTCGCGGCAGTGCTGAAGGTGCTGGATCCAGCCCCACCGCCGGGATCATCGTGCCAGCAGCGTTTTGGGGACAGAACAACTCAAAGGCAGCAATCGCATTATCTGGGCTGCAAGAAAGGATCAGAAACATTCCTGGTTCCACCAGGCCCTGCTCTGTTTGCAGCAGCGTGTGGATCTGGGGCCTGTTAAATGACTCGTGTTATTGCTGGGGTAGATGGTTTCATGAGTCAGTAGAGCCGGAGCGATAACAGACCCGGGAGCGCCGTTGGCCGCGGCCCTGCTTGCTCTGCTGCCAGCGTGTGCCAGTCATTAGCAGCGCCAGGTTTGCTGCCGGGAGCCGGCTCCGCGCAGGAGCTAAGGGCGTGCAGCGAGGCAGCTGGCTGCGAGCGCAGCCCCTGGGCACCGTTTGCCCGGAGCACAAACTTGCCCATTTCCAGCACCACTGATACGAGCCTTTGTTGCCGTCTCCTGAGAGAAGTGAGCGGGCAGAGATGAGAGCCAGAGCCAGAGCCACCCGTGCCTGAGACCAGAGGCAGGGAGCAAGGGGCGGAGGTGCGCAGTTTGGTCTGAAACACAGAAGCGCCGGTCAGTCACCAACCGGCTGCGCGCGGCAGCTCCGGCCGGCAGTCGGAGCAGTGCTGCTCTAAGTCCAGGCAGTTTAACACGACGGGGACAGGGGGGGATGAGACACTCAGGCCTCTGGCTGCTATTCTCACCCACAGGCCGTCGGTTTTGCTGTGAATCTGTTTCCCCAGTAACATGCTGGAGAGGATAACACTGACCCGCCTCGCAGGGACGGGGTGCTGGCTCGCAAGCTGCTGCCTGCTGCCCTGGGGCGAGCCGCGGCACAGCGGGGAAGTCAGCACGCCGCCTTTCTGTAGCTGCAACCAAGCACTGACAAAGTGCGTGGTCTGAAATGGCCGCTGACCACTGACCCCACCACTAGCGCGGGCAGCCCTGGCGTGGTGTCTCACACGGACGCCCCTGTCCTGAGGCTTCATGGACTCGGGCTCTCCGGTTTAGACAGAGAAGCCCGGATGGGATGGGAGATCAGTTGTGACCGAGCTGAAGTCTGTTGTGGCCCTTGCTCTCTGGTCTCTGGTGGTCTCCTGGGTTTGCTTCGCAGCTAAGAGGGGTGCGGCGTCTTCGAGATGCCCAGGACTCCTGTCCCCTGCCGGCAGCGTAGTGGCAGGCCCAGCCGCAAGGGCAGGGCAGGAACAGTCCTGGCCCGCGGACAGTGCACATCCCGTGCCACGAGGACGCGGGCCTGCCCTGCCCCACACTCCTCCCCACTGCTGAAGGCCTCCCGGCCCGGGGCATGCGGGCGGCCCTCAGGGGTCGCGTTATGGGGGAGCCCCCCGTAAGAGATGAGAGCCCTGCCGTAAGATGTGAAACTCATAACCTGGGGGGCGGGGGGGTCTTCAACTGGATTGCTCCTTCACTTAGGTGGACTTGTTGCTCAAAGAAATCAAACATTGGGATCGTCTTGAGCCCCTCAAGAGTCCAAGTGCTATTCGAACCCTGTGGCCCCTCACTACCGAGCCTACGCCTTCGCGCTGGTGGAGGTCTCATCCCGAGAAAGCTGCGCCTCTGGAAGCATTAAGCCGGCTGGCTCCTCCCTTCCGGGGCGACTTCTAAGCACCCAGCTGCCCCGCGTTGTCTGGACCTCGACTGCAGGGACAGGGGTTGCCGCGCGGCTCCCAGGAGCCCTGCAAGCTCTCTGCCGCTGCCACGTGCGAGGAGCTGCTGGGAAGAGCTCCACTGCACGCGTTCGCCCGGCAGCAAACCGCAGAAGCAGCCATTCACTGCACTGCATCCAGCCCGCTTGCTGGAAGCAAAGGGCAAGGGCAAGGGCAAGGGAAAGGGACTCAGTCCTGGGCAAGTGAGATGCCAGGCGACGGGCTTGCACGCACGGACCTTTCACGTTGCTGACAAGGCCGGCACTGTTGTCTAAAGGAGACAAACTGAACGTGTCAGATTGAATCCCAGGCTGCGAAAGCCCGGCTCGCTGTGCCCCGGGAATGCTGCGTGCCGCGGGCTGGCCTTCATGTGTCACTTCCCTGGAAAAGCATCTGTTACCTCGTTGCGTCGCTAAGTGCTAAACGGCTCGCTGACACCTGCCAGCCTGGGCGGGCGGCTGCAGGATGTGTCATTCCTGACAGCCCTCCTGGAGGAGGGAAACCCAACCCAGAGCAGGATCCTTCTGGTCTGCCCTGTGGGCGCCGAGATTCTCCGCCTTTCCCGCGGACGCCCCATCTGCACGTCGCTGCAGAACGTGGACGCACGCCCATGGCTCCTTCCCAAAGCCCCTCCGGGCTGCACGGGCACAGGGTGGCTAAAGAAGGGGTTGTGGGGTGGCCTCAGCGAGAAGGTCAGAAGAGCCCTGAGCTCGGAAGGGCCACGTTTCGATGGCGCGTGTCAAAGCGGTCACGGCAGGACTCGCGTCCCTCATGCCAGCAGAAGTCCCTTGCCTTTCAGCTGCATCGCACTGCCGATGCACGACCAGGAACCTGCCTGATGTCACACCCAGGACCTCCCCGAGAGCAGAGCTGGGGTCTCAGCAAGTCCAGTGGGAGAAGCAACGGGCCAGACACTGTCCCCAGCTATTCGAGCTAAGTATGGGGAAATCCCCAGACGGCGAGAGCCAGCCTGAGCCACTGAGTAGACTGGGAAGAGAAGGAGCCCCAGGAAGGGCACTGACCCCCGAGGGGGCCTGCAAGACTGTCAGTGCCAGTGGCCTGGAGGCAGGGGCTGTGCACTGCACGATAGCAATACCACCCTCTCCACCTGCATGGGAGTGCTGGAGGGTCTCAAGCAGCAGCAAAAAATCAACAAGTCCTTGGACTGTATGCACGTCCAAGAGTTTTCAAAGAGCTGGATAAGGAGCTCTCTGGACTGTTACTGCTGATATTCAGGGAGTCTGGGAAAGCTGGAAATGCTCCAGAGCACCAAATGGGAGCCCACATTGTGCCACTATTAACAAAGGCAAAAGGGACGACCTGGTAATTACATGCTTGTCGGGCAGCCACAAACCCTGAGCGAGATAATGCAGCAGCTGAGCTGGGACTCGATCAAGAAAGAACGAAAAGAGGCGACTACAACTGATGCTAACCAATGCAGCCCTACGGAAAATAGATCTTGTCGGGCGACGCGCTCGGGGGCCCTGGCGGGCAGTCGGCTCAGCGA